CCCCCACCACCACCACCACCACCACCAAAAATACACACTTTCACCTCACTAGGTGCAGCTAGGCGATTGATAATCATTATTTGGAAGCAAAAACACCCTTTTTAAATGTCAATGTCAAGAAATTAGAATTCGTTTTAAAACGTCAAAAGGCTTAAGGAATTGAGGTTAAGCTAGAGTTAAAGAGACTTGTCATAGAAAACTAACAACAACTGACCACGTGAAAACATTAGAAAACAATTGACACCAATCAAAACTCCATTAATAGACAGTGTCTGACTTTCAATTTCCCAAATTTTGACCAAATATCACTGTTGCACTAGACAAAACAGACGCACTGGGACAATAAGGGTAAGTTAACCACGTGTTCAAGCACATGAAAACACGCTCAACTGATGGCAATATTAAAATAGAGCGTCACCGTGGCTAGTTCATGTACTTAACAGAAATATTAATTCAATATTTGCCCTGGATCGAATGAAATAAACAAGCTATGCATATGGACTTACTCGGCACCGCAAAGGTGATCCACTTTCAGTTTGAGTTCATTAAGGAGGTAAGAGACAGTGAACCAATCAAGTGGTGTATCAGGAGACTTCTCTTTACCAAAGTGTTTCACACCTGAAATGTCGTAGACAGAATTCGTTGCTTCTGGAAGTGATGACTCAATGAGTGCCGACTCATCAATCCACTGAAATGTCTCAGGTGGTTGGAAGGGGCCAATGAGACCAAGCAGAATTGACGGTAGTCCTAATTCACGGAAACAAGGTGTCAGGCAGGTAAGTAGAGGCTAAAATAGAAAAAAAATGACTATACGTTTTATCAAGATACCATCGATAACATTTCACAAAGGTTAACTAGAGATTTCTTTTAACTACTTTAATATGCTTCGTATGGGGAATTCCTATTGGTCAAAGTGAACATTTGATACACCATATCATCGTAATCGAGGAGTTTATAGCACCTTCGCACACTTTGATTCGTAGACATGTTCAGTCTTGAGGTGCTGCGCACCTACTGACGCATGCATTTACCCCAAACGTCAGGGTACAAAAGAAAGCAAAATCAGTCCTCTGCCTCATTGTATCTCCATTCTTCTATTATTCACAATCCGGATTGTCTTCCTTGTTGTTCTGCCTACTTCTTCATTCTTGTTCATCGCCCCCTCCCCACCCCCTAAACATATCTTTAATTGAGTCCAGTGACGACAATAAACGTTGGTGCATAACCTAAATCCACCCCCACCCCACTCAATTAAGTTTTAAAATTACAACTAGACTCTTGCTAAGTAGACGTTCTCTCCCTGACTTCCTGAACTCGGAGAGTGCTCGAAGAAGGACGTACGGGGTTCAGGAGAACGGTTAACCAGAGAATAAAGGACTTGAAATACAATAAAAATCTTCGGGTTGACTCCAATGTTTTAATGCTCTTTAACTAGAAGTCAGGCAATACAACTTCAGACATTCTCAAAATCGGTCATAAGGGAGAAATAAGAGAGCAAAAAAGGTGGGGAACGAATTTAATCACAAATGGGAAAAGCAAGCAGACATCAAAGTGTTCCCGGAAATCTCATGAGAAAAGTAATTATTCTCCTTGAGGTTGATAAAAAACATCAAACTTAGGATTTCCACGAGACAAAGTATTTGGGATTCAGAGAAGGCAAAAGAACCTGTTGTTTAAGAATAAACTTGCTTACTTTACCTGAGTTTTTTAATGCAATAAAAATTAGGTGAAACCAGCACTCACAACATTTAAAAAAAACTTTAAAAAGAATGATATGAGGAGTCATAGATTTCCAAAGCAGGCAAAATAAATAAACAGCTTTGCACTTTGAACAAGCATCCACAATCCTAGAATACCAAAGGGAGTTGGAAATAAACACCTCAGTTATATACTCATATTGGGGTGTGCGATAGACTTACCTCCATGTGGTGCACCCTGAGCAACGTATACTCATACGCAAAAAAGTCAATTATTCGGCAGTTGACTTCTGACTTCAAACTACCATGACCCCACCCCATGTCGAATTCGATCACTTCAACAGTTCTCATCTTACCTTTTCTCTGCATTTGTGTCCGTCTGTCTCTTTTTATCTGTGAATCACTCTCCTCCCCCCCCCCTTCGAATTTTTCTCACTTTGATGTTCCTCCTCCTCTCTGTGACGTCCGAAGTCAGCTTAAGGCGCTAATGATAACTATCAAATCACCTGCCATTTGAAATAAATAAATATACTCATATTTACCATACAACGGAAACTCTCGTTTTATATAACCCCCCCCCCTTCCCATATAATGCCTTAACTCCTTCAAAGCCCAAAACACTTAGAAAATAAGAGAGGAAAGTAAGATCAACAATGTTGGGACTAGCGTTTTTTAAGACAACAATTAAGAGGTTGACGCTTAGTAACGTTCAATCAGCAATGATCAATACGAGGCATGGTCAGATACAAGCACTAGGATAGCTTCATTACAGCCCAATGCAAGTTTATATGTTGCCTAAAAGGCTTGGAAAATGTAAACCAATAAATTGCCAATTATATTAGAGGTCACAAGGTTTTACCTGAAAGGAATAGCTAATTACCGAAAAGAACTTACGGCAAGAGTTTATGTTAGCAGAAAAAGTACTGAAATTTTCCACTTATAATCATCGTAATGAAGAAGGACTTTTTTAGAATCTAAAGATATATTCAGCGGTTTAATATAAAAAGCATATACCGACACAAAAACTTCACTTTAGGCAAGTCGGCAACAATCTCCACTAATATAGAGAAAAACCACCTCATAATTGTGGAGAATTCGAACTCACATCATGTACTAAGACAGTGCATTTGCCTCCAGAAGAAGTTCCAGCCATCTTATCCACTGTCGTAGTTTGTTCAGCAGCCACCGTTGTGTCAGCCTCCATTAAATTGGTGGACTCCACACCGTCATTCGTGTCCTCGTCTTCAACAGCAATGTCTTCTCCATCACCATCTGCTCCTCCGAATAGAGACTTTTCGGTGCAGAGACGCTTGGCAGCTTTTCCACCCTTGACCCTTCTTGGCTTTCGCTTCTGCCTGGAAATTAGAACAAAGATCGTATATTTTCAATAACCTTTATCAAGCTCACTTCATTATTCCTTCGAGCATGACGAAAGCGATGAATTGCGCTCTTCATGTTTTCAAGATTATTTTTCGAACTACGAGTAAATGTAAGTCCATTTTACGCAAGATAGTTTATTACTATCGATTATCAGTTGTAGTTTCAAGATACACGATATAGTTGACCGTTTCACAAGCTCTCTTTGCTGTTCTTCGTTTTACGCTTTCTATTCCTGATATCCACTTTCACAGAGCCAAAGACTGGAGTCCCACAACTCAAATTGAAGCTATTTTCGCTGAAGCATCATCCTCTCCCCCCTCCACCACAAGAGCTTAAGCAAAGAAACCCGCTTTCAATCAATTTTTTAGATCCGATATACTTAACCCTGTCATGCAAACCTAGCATCAAGTTTATGCGAAATAAAAAGAGTCAACCTAATTACCTACCCGAATTTGCTACTTGCGCCCTTCTTTCCGCTCGACGGCGTAAAGAGAAGGAGACGCTTAACACAAGCCTGACGACCAGGAAAAGCTCGAACAAACGCCGGATCAAATGTCATGACATCAAGATCTTCATAAATAGGTAAAGGCAGAGGCATCTTGGCTGCAGTTATAGCCGCATTCTTGATGCGCTGAAGGAGCAGAGCATGAAGACATAAACGTAGACTGGCTATCTGAATAAGACGACAAGTAAGTGTGGAGGTGAGGGGATGACGCCTAGGCGTTGCATTTGGAGTCGGCTTGGAGGGCGGAAGAAGAATGCCCCCTGCAAAGGTGTTGACAGACTCTGTGCAGCAGTTGGTTACAATCAAGATATGAGAAGGAGATAGATCTGATAGCGGCACAGATGGAAGAACAAAGGGACATCCAAGAAGAGCACTAAGTGCTAAAGGAATAAAGCAAAGAAATGAGCTACGACAAGCAATACTTAGGTAAATGGATAATAAAACCACATTTAAACCAACGGTAGCTTCATCATAATGAAGTGCCTAACGTGGTTGCTGCAAAATAGAAAAAAAAATGCGTAATGATGTTTAGTAACCTGGGGAAAGTGGTAAGGCAACTGAAAGGGGAGAACACAAATCAATACCAATGCGAAAAAATAACAAAAACCATTTCCACGGTTGAGTTAGGTTGATTCGATTACTACCAACAACTGTGCACTTATACTAGCCAATTAAAATAATAAAAATATCCATTAACAGTGAAAGACGTATATATATATATATATATATATATATCGTCTAAAGGGGGGAGAGGAGTGCTGCAGCCGAATCGACAAGTGCCTTCTCAATTGCCTCATCATGTTTTCGATTTTATGGTGCCTCCGACTGCCTGATATATATCGCAGATGTCAGTCAACAATATGGCTTCCACCAGCATTGTAGCCAGTGGCCTACAGTAACCAATCCCTATCAGAAGAAACCGACAATTAGACGTGATTGATTACTCGCAATAACCATCACTCAGGCGCGTCTTGTGTCCTTTCTACGGTGTAGCTCCTCATTTACAGATAAAAAATACAAATTAGGGCCCCGCAAAGGAGAACCAAGAAACCAAATCTGCCAAAGGGAGATGCAATAATATTATAATTGATTAGCCAGATCAGAACGAATTGTTTTAGTCGAGGAGCTATAATATTTGACATTCTAAACAGATAACTGTCTACCTTGTATTATGCGTCAGATTCAAATTTAAGACAGATGGCGATTTCACAGGGCAAAAGCCAACAACTAGAAGATATTAATTCAAAGAAATGTACATGAGCATAGAATGTCGAATTAAGTATATACAATGGGAATAGATTTAGGATCACCCTTTTCGACACAATTTACTTCTCCAGATAAGATTATTGTACTAGCTATTAATCATCTCGAGCAGAGAAGATATTTTATCTAGCCTACCAAAATTAATGATCGAATCGTGCGTCGGTGACTCAATGATCGCCGTATACAATACTCCATACTCATCAGCATCTACTCAGTAAACGGAATTGAGAACACTTAGGTGGTAGAAATCGAGTTCTTCACCAGAGGCTTCATGACCAGGGCAAGTAAAAGACAGAACTTTCCTAAGCGGGGTTGAGAATTGCAATAACAACAATAACAATAGTATTATCTACGCTACAACAAGAGGGGTTGCAAAGTAGGTGTTGCAGCATTCAAGGATTAATAATTAAGTGGTGGGAGAGGGGGGGGAGATTCACATCAGTTAAGGCAGATGAAAATCAATAAATTCATTCAGGCAATTGAAGTGTTAAGCAAGACAAGTCATCTAAGCGTAATTAGCTGATATTGGAATTGACAAAGGGAAATCAGAGAGAGAGAGAGAGAGAGAGAGAGAGAGAGAGAGAGAGAGAAAATCAAGACGAGGAGAGATCACCCACCACAAACTATTCGAAATTCGATAAATTCAAGCAGTAACGATAGACGCCAGTAGACTACCAAGGGCTGTCGGTCTACCACTAAACTAAAAATAGGACGTCCGAAAAACTAAGGCGAACGATTTTTCATTTCTTTGTATTTATATGTTTAATGTAGAAATAAAGTCTTAGGACTTCCGCTAGTTTTAACACAGATTATTCAAAGGTTAGTTCATTTTAACATTTGAATACTTCTTCGTCAAATTCATTCTGAGTCACTCAGCTTAAGTCAATAGCTTCCAAACACGCCAACCCCATTATAGGTAAGAACGGAAACGCTCATAACTAAGTAATCTAAAGGGAGAGAACAAATACGGGGAGTGTATACACCCGTGATTCGTGTGTGTGAGCTAAGTGCCATATGGCGAGGATAAAGAAATTTTCGCAAAGGGTGTTAAGGGACCGAAGAGTTAGTTATAAGATGAGGCGGGATGGGAGGGATAGCTAGATTTCTAAGCGGAAACCAAATGAGAACAGGTGGCTGAAAACCGTATTAAACAAAACACCTCCATCGCCTCCTGGTTATGGCTAAAATAAGGAAGCGTGAGAAAACTTACCATCCAGGGAGCGATTGGACTTGAAAGCCTCTACCACGGCCAGTAGACGCAGTTGTGATGGGATAAGAGCTGGTGATGGTGGTGAGAGACGAACAAGAGGTCTAGACATGCGTCTACTTGCCAATCGATTACGTGTTATTGTGGATAAAGGAGGTTTATCATCAATACTGAACGCCTTGTCAAGTGTCGGGCCTACTTTTAAGGCAATTTCACAAATATCTGAGTCATTTAAACCCAACTGGGAAGTGCAATTATCATCGTAACTAGGCGTGTGATCAACCACGAACTCCTCCTAAAACAAACACATAATAACATCGACTACTTATTTAATAGGAGTAGAGTGTTTACCGACAATTTACCTGAAATTCACGCATTACTTTACTACCCATCCATTCAATGAACTTCTTCACTTCAAGTTTTGAAGATCCCGATTTCCGAAAGTCTAGTTCGAGACGAACAAACATAGCTGCAAGTTCATCCAACCAGAAGGTCTTTAATTGAGTAGAGAGAAGAGCTCCCCGTCTAACTGCATTTTCAACCAAACCAACTAATTGGAGCAGGAGACGAGAGGGAGTCGGAACAAAGGCTCCAAGAGGGCTTGTTACGCTGTCAAGTTCTGCTGAATCGAGGGGAATGTTTATTTCCTGTGAATCATCAGCTAGACTGGTTCCAGGGCCCTTCAAGCTTAAATGACTGTGGCTATGACTTGAACGAGGTGTTGCATTCTCAGACCCAGTAGTAACCTGAGAAAGTTGCGATAATATTTGTCTTGATAAAACGCTGCTTTGCGAGCACTAAAATTGCGAAAATTCACTCAATGAAACTAAGAAGATAACATTTCAAGTAGTCTGGAAGCTAACGCACCTCCAGGATTTCAGCTTGGGACAAAGGAGTACTATTAATTGGTGCCAGAGATAGCGACCTCTTTTCACGTCTACAGTAGATTTCAAGAAGAGTCACAGCGCCAATTAAACCACAAACTTTGAGTTTATTGGAGCTATCCAATAGAAGCCGACGAATTCGAATTAGGAGATCATCTTGGACATAAACAGCACCAGATCTACCAAAGGCGATATTAACAAGAACCAAAAAGAGTTTTCGAATATCCTCAATATCGGGCAGATTTCCTTCCGCCTTTTTAGCGATTTCATCAAGAAGTCCGATAAGGATATCAAAATAGGCAGAAATACCATTAGCGTACTTTATGGATAGTTGAAGTAGAATGTTAAGGCAAGCTCTAGCACTGTTAAGCGTTCGTTTCTTCGTGAAAACACTGACTTCCGCAGCGTAGAAGGAACGAATATTCTTGCAAAGATCTCGCATCACACGCTCAGCTTGTGCTTGGCCAGAGGGCGCGAGTTCAAACACAGAAAAGTAGACCAAACAGGCGAATCGATGGGCTGACTTCGATTGATTGTTAGTAATTAGATTATTAGTGAGAATTAAGAGGGGGGAATACAGTTCCTTTAGCCTGAAGGTAGCAGTGTATTTTGAGAGTGACTCACAAAGTTCAAGTTGGACTAATCTTTCTGCAACGAATTTGAAAGTTTTCATGATTATCGAGACCTCCTTGCGTTTAGAGAGGTTAGTTGCATCGCTCTTGCATTCAATGGATAGTTCTGAATCGTAGGCAAGAAGAAGAATTAGGAAATCATCCATGATATTGGAATTGTCTGTTCCACACTTTGAGTAGCCTCGATGCAGATAGCAGAGCCACCTGAAAAGCGAATGATTAAACATAGTTTCTAAGTTAATGATATGAAATGCCACTAATCACAATATTGGTCATCCCATGAGTTGATAAGAAGACACAGTAAGAGCTAGAAAAGCCTCTTTGTTTGTGAATTAAGACAAAGGAAAATAGACTCCCTTTGCGTACCCTAAATGAAGATGCATTGGAGATATTAACTCCTTAACGCCGATTTATTTTTTTGAAAATTGCATCAAACCACACTCACGCGTGTCTCACACCAGGCTGATGCCGACGTGATGAGTTTTGGTGGTATTATACAAAGACTATAGGCATAATTAACACATTTCAAACGACAATAGTGTCTTCTGTTATGAGTCTAGTACCAATTGATCCTATTTACAAAGAGGATTGTACCGTCCTAAGGGCGTTAGAGGGGTTAGCAACTTATGCTCATGGGATAATTGGTTGCTGAACCCACCCAAATTCTGCCATTCAAGCAAATTAAATGACGTAAGGGGACAATTTGTGAGACCTTTAAAACACACCTTAATACACATTCATACAGGCAAGTAATTTCTTATTAATCGCTTAGACTAAAATACTAATTCACTCAATTATGCCTTCTTAAACAGCAACCACGATCATTTTGACAATTTTCATTAATATTATTGAAAATGTGCTTCACCTAGGTTTATCTCCTTACTTAAATAGTGATATAAATCGTGATTTTATATCACACAAATATGATGTTCCCCCCCCCCCCCCCGCCCCAAAAAAATGAATCGATTTTTTTATAATTTTCCACATATTTAGTAATAAAACACGTAGCAGTCAGAATTGATTCCAGACCTAGTTAAATACCACCGGAATCATCAGTAGAACGACCGTCCCCCACGCCCAAGTTAGAGAAAGATTATACGATTTTCATTGGTTAATAAAATGACGTTATTCATACGTCAAAGCAGCTCGCTCAATCCAGGCCGCTCGCATCTCTCAACAAAAGAAGTGAAATGAGATTCATTCCAATAGATAAAATATTTATGGATTTCGTTTTCGCAACAACATAAAGTTATTACCTAGTCAATTATTCCAACTAGCACAAAACACAATACTTCAACCATTTTACATTTTTAATGAAATATAAAATAAAATGGGAAAAATAAGATGGTTGAAAATATCTATACAAAGATACCTTCTCGCCCCCTTATTAGGAATAAAATTAAAAGAAAAACTTACTCTAACTTCAATTGATTATCTGATCTGAAAATCATATTAATAGTTTCCACGTAGAGAGTGAAGATTTGATCCGACTCCAACATAATTTTAGACAACTGCATTCTATTTCGAAGGATTGTGATAAATTCGCAAATCTCCTCACTACTGAATGATTTCGTCAACTCACTAGCAAATAAACTTCGAATTATGGCTACCGTGCATTTTTGATGTGATGGACTGCCAATTGAACGAAGAATAACATCTTTGCAAGCACTCTTTAATCGATGTAGAGCTGAACCTTCAAGAGGAAAGTGATTTACACACTCAATTATTTCCATGAAAAGCATGTGATTTTCCGAGTCCTCGTTAGTTGAGTGCAAAACCCCTTCTAATAAATCAATAACCTTCTGGATGATTCCGCCAACAGTTGAGGAGCTAAAATCCTGTCGCGATTCCTCAATGGGAGAAGCCATTAAATCAGGAAGAGATTGAAGAATGTGGCTTTTGATCAGATGATCATTGACAAGTCCAATCAATTCAATGAGCCGATTAGCTGTTTCCTCAATTGTGCTGAAGTGCGTGAAAAAAGATTTGATACCAACAGGTCGAAGTAATTGAGCAAGGAGCGAGGCTGAATATTTCGACTCTTTTCCAATGCACTCAAGCATCAAGTCAATAAGATATTTTTGTAGGCTTGAAATTGAGAGAAAGATTTGAAAAAGTGAAGCCGGAGAACCGAATAGAACTAGAACATCAGATTGGTCCTCCTCGTTTGAAAAATCATCAGCATCATCTTCTACTATGGAATCTCGAGTCTGAATAGAAGATAGCAAAGCGTTGCATTCGAATTCATAGTTAGAATCCGTTAAAATTAATTTGACATCGCTTAATAAATCTGTCTCAAATTGAGCATCAGCTGAAAGTTTCGCAATTAGACTCTTGGCACGAGAGCTTGCCGTGTTTGCAATATGCCATGCTGTTCTTCTTTGGCTGCCAGTTAAATGAAATACCAGACACTTATTATCTGTGGAACATTTGATATCCATAAAATCAAGGGCAGTGAGTATTGCATGAAATTTCGAAGAGAAGCATTTCGAGATATTGCTGTCACTTTCAGCAAATATATCGTCATCTGTTGACATTATAATAGTAATAGCGAAAAAACTAATTTAAGAATTCGAGAGTCGAAGACACAATCAAAATATACAAAATATGGTTCATACACTGCGGTACTGAAAGATGAATCAGTTGCAAGGTCAGTTAAAGCATTAAATGTTATTTTTAATTAATTAAAAAAAACAATTTTACATTGTCTAATTCCTTAAATATTGCTAGCTAAACTAATTTTTAATTTAGCAATGATGTTATTTTCTTTTTGATTGAGCTCTAAATGCATAGCATTTATTTATTTATATCAAATAACAGGCGTTTTGATAGTAATCATTAGCCCTTTAGTTGACTTCGGGTTTCACAGAGGGGAAGGAACATCAGAGGGAAAAATGTTGAGACGGTTGACAGAAAAGTGTTTCAATGATGTAAAAGTGACAGGCACAAATGTAGGGAGAGGGTAAGGCGAATATTCTGGAAGTTGTGGAATATTACATATAGTGGGGTCAAGGTAGATTGAATTGAGATTTCAACTGCCGGTAAATAGACTTTTTCGCCGTATGTGCATACATTGCACAGGGTGCTCCACGAGGAAGTAAGTCTATCGCACACCCTAAAATACATAACAATTCGTCCTCAAAGATCTAAATTTGGATTATTACAGTTTGCCATCGCAAAAAAATATATTTCTTTGTTAAATAAATTTAAAAGTTTATTATTCGATTTCTGTCTTAGCATTTTAATTTTTGTTTAAATCAAACCTCAGGTATAATTATTTCGCCTGATCGAAGTGTATATATAAGGCATATCTGATTACAAATTCTTTCATGACATAGTAGATATATATCCGATCACTAGCCAATCGACATAAATATTTTTGCAAAAAACGATGCATTCTCTGTACTGATTACAACAAATGAATCATCATCTTACGCCGCGCGCCTCTGTTATGCTATAAAATTTTATGGGTTGCGGCTAAAATTCTCATTACAGTCAATTTATCAATGTGTTTCAATAGCTATTCCAAAGTTCAGAATGGTAGAGTGAACTTCTAATATACTTATTGAGATGATTTTTTCACAGTTATCTGAATATATAGTTAGTCTATGAATTACTATATTGCGTCGCCTGATTTCGTTATATTAGTTAAGTTCCTATTACCCGGTTCAAGCCTTTTAAGCCAAAATTCATAAAAGAGTTCCAAAATGCTTAGTCAAATGTTTTAGCAATCTATTTGTAATCTTGGGGGGAATTTTAACCTGGGTCAAATAAGGGCAACTTTGAATTCCCTCTCTGTAGTAACTTTCGTTTGCACTTTTTTGAAGAACGGAATTGAGAATATTTACATTCTCCGTTGCTTTGCATTGGTTAAAATCAAACGTCAATTTGCAAAATTCACGGTTTCTTAATACTAATCCAAACATGGAAAGAGCATTGAGAACTTGATTTAGGTTGATTATTGAATTAAAAAATAAATGAAATATCTTTTTCAGCTGGTTTTGTGAAAATTGAAAATTTGATTATGGAATATTTTTATAATCAAGTGTTTAAATGGACGCAAAAAAATTATGTCAAGTCACTCAAATCACCTGGCGGAATTTACTGAACTCAAAGGGAAATTCCAATTTCTAACATAAATTATTTTCTATGTACGGAATGACTTTCTTTGTCTAATTTAATCCAAACGCTAATATATTGTGTATTGTAGTGATGACTATCCTCTAATGGCGCAAATATAAATAACTGAATAGTCCAAGAGAAATTATGTTGAAGATGTCTTCACTTCTTATCGCCAGATGCATTCATTGGCAAAGACCACATAAATAATTTTTAATACACAATATTTTTGTTTTACTACTAGGGAGAATTCCAGTTATATTTACATTAGATATCTTCAAAGTTCTTGCGAATTTATATTGTAATAAAATATTAAATGTGCTTTTTTAGCTATATTTTATGAACTAAATTAAAAGGTGCTGCTGTTATTTTCAACGCTATTTATTGTGTATTTTTGCTTTCCACTGAAAGACAAATATACTAATTATTATACTAATAATTATTATTATACTAATATCTTTTCCCAATTTGTAATGCTTGAATTTGCAAGCCTGAGATTTACAATTATGTTTTCCCGCACTTCAATTTTGCAAACTGTAATAATTGGAATAAGATATGAAACAATATTTAATTGTGGAATAAGTAAATATGATTAAGTGTTGATCAGTTTGCTTTGGGTAAAGGATTTCTGTCAAAACCGCATTAATGGATATAACTGGTAATGATTACTACCCATTGGCAGCCCCGCTGTTTAGACAAGAAAACACTAAAAAATTTTGTTGTTATTCAACACGTTTTCCCTAACGAAAAACTAGGTGGCGATTTTGACTTTAATTAAATCTATTTTCTGATTATAAAATATGGCAATTCCTAATCGCAAATACATCTACATTCGACTAAGAATATGTATGCTTCACGTGACAGAAGTAATTCCTTGCATGTGCATTGTTCACACTTGTCTAATTTCTGTATAACTAAAAATCTATACCTTTTGTACGATACTCATGATGTGGTTCAATTGTATTCAATAAATTTTTAAAGTAATACATTTTTTGAGCTGCATTTTCTATTTTTGCTACGGCGTTAATTAAGATAAAATTGGAGATTAAAATGTTTATCTTAAACCTGTATGGCATATAATCATACTGTTCTTCTCTTCAAACTATTTGTTTTCGGTAGGGTATATGCTATATAATAATTTCTGGGCCATTATTTCTCACAGGATTTGAAATATATCTTCATTATTTTACTTGAGAGCTCAGTTGAAATGCAAATTATATTTTTGATATATGAAATAATGAAAGTAAAGAGATAAATGGTCAGATAAACTAAAGAGAATCGAGATTAGATAGATATCATCATTTATCTCATGGTGGGCAGAATTTAGACTCAAATTAATATCTTCACTAAAAACATAAAAATGAAATTTTAAATTGAAGTTATGTACACTAAAATTATTTTATTTTGAAAGAGTTTTGAAGTTGATATTTCAAAGTCAGTAGAGTGTTTTATTGGTTGGGTCGAAAGCGATATTTTGTATCTAGAGTCATGTGGGTTTTCTTCCACGGGCGTTCTAAGATGTATTCTTATTAATAATTTCTGAATAAATTTGAACTTTTTCAATTTTAGAATATGGCGGATACCTCAGATAACTTGCTTCACAGTATTCGTGAAAGAATAGGCAAGTTGGTGTAATATTTAATCCTTCATTTTGCTAGTCATGGATATTCAATGCTATTTTTTCTGTTAGATTTTTCTTCATTGCTAAATAGTATATTTATAAGATATTAATTTTAATTTGGAGGGATTAAAATTTAGTCGTAATTATTAATAGCAATAGTTGTATGTCGCATATTTTATAGCTCAGATCATTTCGACCTGTTCTTGAGATTTTGTAAAAGTGCTTTGTACCCTGAATTCTAACTCCTTAATAATTTAATTTTTTTAATTCTTTCCACTACAGCTGAGCATAATAACCGCACCATTCAGGTCACACATCTGCCCAATAAGACTAGATTAAAAGATGTACTGAAGTATTTTGACACTGCCATTAATGCTAGATTTCCCACAAAGGTGATTACTGGAAATCGAAGGTACGCATTTATAATTTCTTATTGCAAATTTTTTATTTTTATGGTGTTCGTAATTTTTACTGTTCATAATTTTTCAGATATGTCTTTCTCGAATTTGCTTCTGCAGACGCTGCTGAAGAGGCCCTTGCGAAGGCTAAAACGGTTTTATTTAAAGGGAAACTACCCCGTTGCGAGTTGATATCCCACAAAACTGAATCAGGAAAAGTGAAAAATCCCTGCCTTTATCAGTCGAAGGACTTCTACTCTCAGCGCCTTAACATATCTTGCCTCCATCGCAACGCCAAAGAATCTGAGATTCGTGCCCTTTTCCCAAACTTGAAAAGTCTCATTTTTCCGAATCAAGGACCTGGAAAGGCCCTTGGGTAAGGTGTTATTTTTAGTCTACTTTGGTGTTGCCACGATGTTTAAAGTGAAATATGGATTTCAAACTTTTGATCCTTGCATTTTTCGTTTTCGCTGCCTTAATTTTACTTTCCTCTTATATCTCCATCGATTGCCCATATTCCTTAATCAGAAATCGGACCGTTACCTTATTCTTATAATCAGTTGACGCCCTGACGAGACTTTATTCGATTCTACCTCCCACCATTAAGAATTCTTGCCATCTTTTGTTTTAAATGCGAATTTTTCTCCCATCATATTATTTTTGTCTTTGCTATTTCTCATAGAGTCAAATAAGTCTCACAGCGTTAACTGATTAATCGTAATGATTTTAGAGTCGAATTTCGATCAAATTGGTCTCTTCTAGTTTTTACCTTTCAACTGAACTAAGAAATATACTAATGCCCTCATCTCACTTTCGTTTGGTGATACCGAGAATCCGTACACATACTTTCGCGTTTATACGTACCTTTTTGTTGCTAATGGGTGGAATGGTCTCTATTACTCAGATCTCGTCCACTTTCTTCCCTACTATTTTTTCAGTAGATCTGTAGATAGTCAGTATTCCATCTTGGACATGAGCAGGTATTTATTTCCTGTTACAAAGCTCTGGGGTCATCCATTATATAGTATTGCTTGTTAATAAAGGTTTCTTGACACTGCCGGTTAGCTTTCTTACTTGCTTTTTTTCTGGTTGTAGCTCTGCACGCATAACTTTCTCCAACCAAGCTGACGCTTTGAGTGCCTTTGAATCTCAACACGGAACTGTCCTTCACGGATCTCCATTAATTGTGAACTTCTGCCTTAAGAGGAAATCGGGAATCTCTCAAGTGGTATTATTCTACATTTATCCATAATTTTAATTTTTTATCGACTACTCGAATGCTTTTTTTTATCAGGCTAGAATGAAGAAGTTAAGCGCGAATGGAAAAGTGGAGGAAGAATTCAAGGTGCTTAAAGATAAGAAGAAAGCGAAAAAAACCTTTAATAGAATGAAACGAACTGATTCGAAAAAGATTAAGTAGAAAAAATTTTGTAAATTCTTATATTCTATTCGAATTTTTTTTTTTACTATTGATCAACTGAATTTTTAAAGAGTCTTCTCTGTTTTATTTGACTGACCTTTGCTTCCTTGAATTGGAATTTTATTTATTTATTTCAAATGGCAGGCGTCTTGATGGTTATCACTAGCCCTTTAGCTGACTTCGGACTTCACAGAGGGAAGGAGGAACATCAAAGTGAGAGAATGTGGAGAGCGGCAACAGAAAAGCGATTCAAGGATGCAAGAGATAGACAGGCACAAATGCAGAGAAAAGGTAAGTATTGAGAAAACGGTAGAATATGACATACAGTGGGGTCATGGTAGTTTGAAGTTAGAAGTCTACTGCCGGTTTATAGACTTTTTTGCTTTATGAATATACGTTGCCCAGGGTGCACCACATGGAAGTAAGTCTATCGCTCACCCAATGAATTGGAAGTATTTTCGCCTGTATATTAAGTGCGGACCATTTGACTGTGTCATCTTTTCTTGATGTCCATTGAAATACTTAAGCAGGCCTGTCCATGTGACCTGGCCTCTAATGTACTACCTGTGTTTTTTAAAAAATATTATCAATGTGAACTGATTTTGACAATTTTCCCTCTTCCGAACTGTTATTTGGTAGTGCATTACGTATTTTTTGGAAACTTGTCGAAGTATATCCTTTGAGACCCTTTCGGCCTCTGTTTTGATGAACAGTGGCGAGTGACTTTTAGGCAATTTAAGTTAATAGCCTAAAATTTTCTGGACTAGGTAAATGGAGGCCCGGGTTGTTGCGGGGACTAATTAGATTAATATCTTAGCCCTGAAGCCGTCATAACTGTTGAGCTATGTCCGTACGGGAAACTGCCATTTATGCCGTAATAATGAATTTGTAATTTTAAGATTTTATAATAAACCTAATTAGTTGTATATAATAAATCGAGTTTAACCTAGAAATTCTGGGAGCTCTAAGTAGTAACTGGCTTATTCCGACTTTATTAAGCCCAGAAGTCAGTATCCTTGCAAACACTTACTCATTATTCCGTTGAACAGCCTTAAATTTTGATGATTTATTTGCACCAATTGGCAGGCTCTATGATAGTTATCATTTGTCCTTTAGTTGACTTCGGACTTCACAGAGGAGAGGAACATCAAAGTCACCAAAAGGTGAGATGGCAAACAGAAGAGTGATTCAAAGGTGTAAAAAAAGACAGAGAAAAGGTTGGGTGAGGTGAGTACTGTGGAAGTGGTGGAATATGATATAGAATCGGGTCATGGTAGTTTGAAGTCGGGAGTCAGCTGTCGATTTATTAGCTTTGGCGTGTGAGTATACGTTGGCCACGGTGCACTATGCGGAGGTAAGTCTTTCGCACACCCCGGAATACTGATTATAAAGTGCATATCCGGAAGCACGAAAGAGAGTGGTCGATTTTGATTCACGCAGACAAATTATGACAATTAAGGGGGAGGGGGAATGAGGTCATATTGACATGTCATCGCCTACGCATAATCACATGCGGACACAACAAATAGCCGATCAAGCCTTGTTTGTTTAAGTGAATGTTCCTTCGTGAAACGGGGAATTAAAATTTTATGGTATTATTAAACAATTAGTTTTCAGTCAGTTGCATTGGTCAAACGAATTAAGCGTAGACGGTAGGATACAAATATTAAAAATATATGAACTCGGAGGCGAGAATAGTTATGACTATGTTACGTAAAATGATAGTCAATATCAGGTAATAAATTTCATAAACAATAAAAAGAGTCAAGAGGAGAATTGTACCCAAATGCTGCTGCTTCAAATGAAAATCTGAACTCCGATAATCCATCGATTCATTTTACAAATACTCATTTTTAAATTGGAGACGTTAAGGGGATATATAATTGAATATTAAAAATAGCATCTTGTTGTTCCATAACGATTCCAACTGGATAGAAGTGATGCATGTCGTTTCTTATGGCCTGTGCTGAAAAGTTCACGGGTATGAGTGAAGCAAAAGAGCGTTCCAATACTCTGGAACATGTGGATGTGTTGCTAATCACACTAGAGAGCAATTGAGGTGACAACCACAGGGACTTCTCAGCCAATTTGCAACCAATTATCATGATATTGTCAATACAGAAAAAAAATTGTACATAATGACTAAGCTCCGTCTATATAAACACGTACCAAATAAACGCGTCCCACGCTATACATCAGTTTTCTCTATGGCTTTTCTAAACCTGAGAGCCTTACAAACTAGCTGAATCTGACTTAGAGATCATTGGGCATAAGTTAAGGCTCAATAGTGTAGAAATCCTCTACGGGTCTAGTTATTCCTACTGAAGCAAGAATTCTCCTAAATAGATTTAAAGTCAAATAATGAGTTAAAATGCGGAAAAAATATATCTTTCGGACACATTTTCCATCGTAAGGCAAAATGCAATGCGAAAGCTATTGAACAACAAAACATCAAAATCTCATTTCAAAATAATAGTAGTTGATGGAATATTGCTCGTATACAATATATGAAAGCAGGTAAAATTTAGGAATAGTAAAAGATTTAATATATATTCATGACGACAGTTTGTTGCAAAAATGCCAAATGGCAAGTAAGCTAACTGAAAGACGCTCTGATGGACAGATATTAACTGCTTTAGTTTAATAATAAGGGTTAAAGTACTATGAAGTTCATATGGCAATACGTGTCCCACAGAGGTGTTTGATAAGACCTTTAAAACATTGACGTCTTCCACATGTAACCCTGCTTTACTGTTTATTTTAAAACGAATTTAAGGATAATTGATTAATTATAGGCAATTGCAATTGTCAAAATTATATCCTGACAAATTTTGCGAAGCTCATTTAACTCGATTTTAATTGGTCGAAAAACTGTAATTTCCGCCTGCTTACAAATTATACATGATCATGGACAATGATAAGCCGTGAGTTGAGGTTTATATCCACTTATATGACAAATCTGTTTAAATTTAAATTTCTATGTATTGTAATTTTCCAACATAATTTTAGTGTCATTCCCCCTGGAACCTTACCTAAAGAGCAAGTTATATATGATCGCGAAAAAAACACCAAAACTGTGATTTCCTACGAATCGGACGATGATGGTGATTACAAAATTACTAAAGAATACACTATTCAACGAATGAAGGTATCCGCCGCTGCCGCAAAGCGCAAGGAATGGAAGAAATTCGGTGATGCCAAAAATGACCCACCAGGACCTAATTCAGCTAACACTTATCCTGGTGAAGTAGTGAAGATTCAATATATTTCAAACAAATTCGTAAGGTTCCATACTCTCATTTTTAATATATATTTTCTGGTTTACAATATATGTTTTTCTTTTCCAGCTTGAGGCTGGAGCTCAGAAAGAAGACGATGCCAGTGCTAAGGCTTTGAAGCCCAAACAGGCGGTTACCTGTCGTATTTGCAAAGGTGCTCATTTCTCTACTCAGTGTCCATTCCGTTACGAAATGGAGGCAATACGTTCGGTTGTTGAATCCACAGTTGGGTCTGATACTCAGGGTCCTGATGCTATGACTAAGGTAACCGTTTACTTGTCTGATTTAACCGATTTGATCAATTTTGGTCGTGATTGATTAACTGCGGCATTTAGTCCAGTTAACTATTTTAGTACATCTCGAAACATATAATTCTTGGCAAGTGGATGTCCCAGCCACTGCTTGTTTGCCACAATGCTATTATTCGCGGCACTTCCATTTCTTATTCGTTGAATTCTTCAAGAGTAATAGCGTCTTTTCTCGAGAATGTATCATTTCTCATGGATCTTTGCTCTTCAAAATCCGAATATTCGTTTATATTTTTAATTTTAATGAAGCACTAGTCGTTTCTGTTCCATTGATCTAATATGTAGCGCATTGCTGCTTTCACGCCCTAGCCATAGTCTACTTGTTTCGTCTCATTTAGTATTATTGTTGAAAGAATGCATTTTGATTTTAATTAGACCTGGTATACTAGTGCAATGTTATGGTGTCTAGCTTTAACAGCCATCACTTTTGTCTTATTGTTTGGGAAGCCATAGTTTGCTCGTTTTCGAATTTCCATTATTTATATTTTATTCATCGATGTACGTAAAGTATCTACTAATTTTACATAATTTAACAGGCTGCTATCCAAGAAATCGGGCCTGAACTCAACTCTGGACGTTATATTCCACCTTCCCTCCGCGCCGCTGCTGGTGTTCCGGAACGTTCTCGTTCGGACAATTTCTCAGTCCGTGTCACCAATCTTCCTGAAGACACAAGTGAAAAGGATTTGAGAGAGCTGTTTGAACCTTTCGGCCATATTGTCCGCGTTTATTCTGCGATGGATAAAAAGACCAACAAAAGCCGGGTACGTGCAGAAGTGTTTCTCTTATTTTGCTTGTTTAGCCCCGTGACGATCTGACTGTGTTAAGTAATACGGGATGCAGAAGCGATTGGGGCTTATATTAACTTTAATTGCTGATACTCAGAGTCTACCAGGTTGGAAGAGTGCCTGTAGATGCCGATCCTCAGCTACATTTAATACCGTCAAATTCGAACTTTTATCTTTCTAAATTTCAAATGGGGGGATAATCCATCTTTCACTCAAGTGTAATGAAATTACGTACTTACTATAGTTACATCTTAGTTAATGGGAAACATTCGTATTATATCTAATTACAATTTATTTCAAATACGCCAAACCTCTGATTTTATTTAAGTAGTGTAACGCTTCTCCTTTTGAAATCCTTGTTTACAACTGGGCTGGCGTTAAGGCTTTTTTGTCTTTTTGGGTAAAGATTCGTTTTTCCTCTTGATACAGTTAAACAATTTCTTGATAATTCTTATCCCTCAGCAGCTATTACTTGGTTTCTAATCTTTTCTATCTAATCTTCTGTGTTGGTTCGCTATGCTCTTAATTTTCCAGCGAGACATTTATATCATACATTAATACTGCTTATGTCTAAAAAATATCCTAGCCTAAGTAAAACTATGCAGTCGATTTGGATGGCTTATAATGTTCACAAAGAAGCTAGACATTTATCTTGTGAGGTGTTGCAATAACTACATATTGCGCAGTTCTTTTCCATTTTCGATCCGGTATTTTACAATTGTGTACTTTTGGATACTTGCTCATTACTAGTTTTTTGACGAAGTGTTAACATAATAACTACATTCTATCGTAACCACTATTTTTTTAGAAATTTGATAATGAATTTTTGCTTGAAGAAAGTGTTCAAATAAATCCTTAATAGAATAAACTCTTAATTTCCTACTCAAAGTCAATTTAAGTTTTTTTCTGAACGTGAAACTACTATTCTCCGCTTATTTCTTGTGCAATTTTGGGGCCTTTTGGTCTATTTCCAACATTAAGTGGTCGAATGTCTAAGGTCTCCGATCGATCGATACTCTGCCACACGTCCAGCGAGTGGAGCAATCAACCGTGCTAAGTAAAATATGTGAAAAGTGGGATGGAAGATTGGGTTTTTCTCTGTTGCTAGTGGTCATGGCTTGAATGTGCTTTGGTGGTTGCCTTTTAAGGGGTGCGACATGTCAATTTCTTGTTGGGGGGGGGGGGGGGGTCTTATGATGTTGCTCTGCACAAAATTGGTTTTTGTTAACGTCTCTTAGATACCACTGTCTGAAGTAAGAGCTGAAAGTGCTTCTCTCCTATGAACTTGTTGGATCAAATGAAATAATTTGTCCCTTTTTCTTTTAACGATATGTTAATTGGACTACTAAAAACTCTTTAATCTTTAGGGATTTGCTTTCATTTCCTACCGAACGAAAGAGGAAGCTGCAGCTGCTATTTACTCAGCCAATGGCATGCCTTACTCCAATCTCATTTTGAAGGTCGATTGGGCGCAGTAAGTTAAACGCTTTTCTCTTTGCTTTCTTTCTTTTTACCACCTTGTGTGATCCTTTTTTTATCTTTAGGCCCTCCAACAATTGAGATTAGGTCTAACCCCACTTAATCAATAAATACTGATATTTGTATTGACATTGTTTTTGTGTTTTTCTATAATTGCGAAAATCCTGTCAGTGCTAGTTGCATATTGTATATAATGCGAAAAAAGCTAAAACACACTTGCAAGGTTTTTTTGGGGGGGGGGGGGAGAATAGCTTAAATTCGAGTCCAGTTTTGAAAATAAAATTCATACACGGAGGAGAGATTTGGGTGATTTAAATAAATGGCACTATTTGTACACAAGACCACGAAATGACGTCTAAAGAGTACCTCAGAGAAGGGGCTGAAGAGAAGAATTAAGGCACCTTGGGGAACTCTGATTAGTGTGTGGAAGATTGTTTTGGGTTGGGCTGTCTCATTGTTTTAGCAGATAAATTTCAGTTTCTGGAAAAGGGCGGTGCTCATGCGTGAATAGTGCTCTAAAAGAGGTACAAGAGCACAGCAATTAGAACCCTGAATTGATTTAAAGTTTAACGTCCACTTGCACTGCTAGCTAAAGCGAAATTAAAATTATTGGTTGCCGAATACTCAAATTATATTTCCTAAATGGCTATCGATTTGCAATTAAGTAAAGTGATTACCTGTTTATATGTTTAAGGGCTGTTATTAAATTATTGTGTTTTTAGTTCTCTTTTATAAATTTAGTTAATTGGTTGTGCATAACTACTTGGTTATGATTGTATTTTTTAAGTTCTAACAGTGTCGAATTTAATTATAAATAAATGCTTACATTGTTTACGTCACAAGTGGGTCCCACGAAGGGATTGGGGCATGTACAATCACCAGTACGAGGAGAGCAGTCACCACCATTGGCACATTTGCAAGGGTGCTTGCAATTCTCACCGAAGTATTGCCCTCGCTGGCAACCTAAAATGGTACGACATCATCAATAAAAGCTTCCATATTGCTGTCTCTTTGCTACAAGCGTGTAATAACGATTTGTGCGTGCTAAGGCCTTGTGAAGATAGCCTAGGTATCTTACAGGAGTTCGTTTTGGACGATTTATAATATCTAAAATGACGACACAGTTTACAGTAACAACACAGAGTTTCAACTACAGTGATTATTTTACTGCCAGAGGTTGGTGTAGATTAGAAGAGAGGACCATTTCTTCGCTACTTTGTGGTGGTGCTTGGTGGGGTTGGAAGAAGAAACGTGAAAAATTAAAATCAATTCGCCAAGGCGTCTTCTTACTGCGTTCACAACCATCACCATGTTGACCGATGGCGCATAGACATCGACCTGTTTCAAAGTGACACTCCTGGCAGTTTTGACATCTTTGAGCACACTTCTCCCCAAAGAATCCTTTTGGGCACACTACAACCGAAAGCCGATAATTAGGTTCAGACTGACTAGTTAGTCAGCTGTCAAACCAGAGACTGACCTTGATCGCACCTATCTCCTGTGTAGCCAGGTGGACATATACAGAGACCGTTAAGAGGATCGCATTCTGTTTGGCCATTTCGTGGACTATAGCAAGTGCATTTGTATTGACACCCTGGACCCCACCAACCCAAGGGACATCTGTGCTGACACAAAGGACCGAAGAACCCAGCCAGACATTTACAAGCTCCGTTAACTGGATCGCAGCGTCCACCATTTTGACAGATGCAGACCTATATATCACAAATGGGATTAAATTAGATTTAGATATCTATTAGTAATAAATTGGAATAATAATTTCAGAATCGCTTAAGAACTGTTCTTCCTGCGGGGTGACTAAACCTATATTTTAAATATGGCCAATCTGATGTATAATATCATAATCTACTTGTTCACCTGAGAACAATCAGGTCCAAATCGTCCTTCTCGACACGTATAACTACAGTCATCACCCTCCGTTCCTGGTGGGCAAGGACATCTACCAGTTTGTGGATGGCAGATGAGCATTTCGGCACCACGAGGCCTCCTACCCATAGAGACAATCAAATTCTTCGATCCGACGTCTTCATTGCTTCCATAATCTGATAGGAAAGGTCCAATGTTCAAATCCGGCTGCGAACCGACACAAATGGGACACTTTGATTCGCATTTTCTGCCCCATTTACCCGGTGGACAAGCTGAACAAAATGGAAAACTATTACTCCTATTGATTAAGTAGTAATTGTTAAACAAATATAACATACTCAATTCGCACGCTTCGCCATAGTAACCTGGGTTACAGTCGCAAGCACCACTGATGGGATCACATGATTCTCCATGAATACAATTGCATTGGAGACGACATCCATCACCGTAGAATCCATCTGGACATTTAATAGTACAACGCTCTCCATAGAAGCCTGCCAAAAGGCGGAAGATATGATTAGTCAAACATTAGTGAATGATTCGATAAAAATTTCCGGTATTGACCTGGCTTGCAAATACAAATGCCCTTTTCTGGGTGACAGGTTCCGCCGTTGTTACAATCGCATCGATTTTCACATCTTGGTCCATAAAAGCCCTCAGGACAACCTAAAAGAGCGGAAAGTGTAACCAGCCTGAATAGCTCGTGGAGAGTAAGACTTGTGGCATAGGTTAATTCAATTCAGAAGTAGAAGTTTGCATTAGAAATTAACTCATACATTTGGTAACAGAATTTAGTTGATAAAGCACCTTATTATTGGTTGACTGGTTTTTAATCAAATTCGAAAACTTAATTCCTATCGTGATCTTTAAATAAGGAGTTCAAAGCAATGTGCTTTGTAGGGAAAATGATGCAGATATTCCCTTAAGGGGGTGGCAAGTAATTAGCTTAACTGTAGTCAGCGAAATTCACTTGCTTTTTATTCTATTTTTTGTAAGGAAAAAATTGATCACGATTTCACAATTTCAATTTGACTTACGTCCTACACAGTGACCATCTGTTAACATCCACCCTTCACGACAACGGCATTTCCCATCTTCCGGATTGCACACAGCATCCGGTCCAAGCTGATCGGTGCATCGGCAGATTCTTTGACAATCAACTCCCCATCTTCCGCTTGGACAAGATTCTTCACAACTCCTTCCTGTCTTGCCTGGAGGGCAAGCACATTCACCCGTTTCATGGTTGCAGGGTCGACGATCAGGACAGTTGCAACTATTTTTGGGGGAAAATTGTTTAATTATCACAGTTCCTATAAATAAGCGAAATCTGTGCCCTAGGCAGTGTGCTGTTCCTTGAATCTAATTCATTTTCCTACGGAAAATCTCTTAACCTGGCTCCTAATGACAATTCAAATGATGGAGTTTTGTGTCCCCCAGATATAAAGTTTTCTTGATAGATATGAGAAAAATATCCTTAAAACTATGTTCTAGCATAATCAGGATAACCTTGATCAGAACAACAGAAAAAAACTGTAGCCATATTCTTCAAAATTATTTTAAATGTCTGTTTCAAATATAAATGACCGCATTGCAGGAAGAGTAAGAGATCTTCAACATATTCATTATCGAATCAATTTAAAGACATTCTCTAAAGGCTTGAGATAACTTTATGGCTATCACCTTACCGAAGTCGACAGTCTTTTCCATAAGTGCCTTGTGGACAAGGTTTCTCACATGCTATACCTGTCCAGCCTGGTGGACAAGCACATTGACCAACGATTGGATCACACGTAGCTGCTGGATGTCGACAATCACAAATCTGTGTGCAGTTTTTGCCAAAGTATCCAGGATCACATTCTACAAAGCAAGAAATAGGCGAGGATTAATACTGTTCCAATTTTTAAAAGCAAATTTACTTTTGTGACAATCGTCTCCAGTGAATCCAGGTGGACATTGACATTGGCCTGTAAATCGATCACAATCAATGCTGTCACCACATCGACAAACATTGATACAGCCTTCGCCCCAACGACCTTTTGGACAGGGCTGCTCGCACATCTCACCAAACCAACCGGAAGGACAGTTACAGGCACCATCCACGGGGTTACAAGTTGCCCCACGGAGGCAAACACATGTTTGCCGACAGCCCTCACCCCATCTACCCCGTGGACATGGTGTATCGCAGCGGCGACCACTTCGACCTGGCGGACACTGACAGCCACCGTTTACCTTATCGCAGAGAATTCCGGCGACATCTGAAGCGCAATCGCACCGATTTTCACAGTTTTGGCCATAGGTACCATCTGGACAAGGTAGTCGGCAGTTGGTCCCAGTCCATCCTTTAGAAGTGAAATAGAAATTAATTAATTTCTCTATGACTAGTCAACTCAGAACCTAAATAGCATTAAACTTTTGTAGTAAATTTCCCCTCAGCCAGGCCACTTAGCAAAAACCTTCCATCCATCTAGTTTATTTGCTTGGTCACCAAACCCGTTAACGCATAGAAATTGGAGGCAGACTTAGTCGGCAATCCTATTCAACCCAACGGGCAAGCAAACCGACTTAGATACATTGTGAGAAGTTAAGATGCAAGATATACTTACGCGGCTTAAGGCGAAAGTAACTATATTGGCATGATAGTTGATTTCTCAAATTCCTGTTCCTATTAATGTTCCTCTATCCGCTTTACTAGCCTTACAACCATTAACTAACTTTATGCCATTTAATTCCATCTTACCTTCTCTTAATAAGTACTACAACTAATTTGCCGAACCTAGGATATAGCCGAAGACTAGAGCAAAGATTTGAGTTTGATTTTCATGCCGATTTCTATTGGCTACGAGTTCGCCAACACATTTTCAAGAGACTGATGCCTTAATAGTGGTCTTTTATTCTTCATGCTATGTTTCAAAGCATAAATCCATGCTACGTTACGAAGAAATATAATTCTAAGAAAAGAGTTTATTTTAGGGCGTACACACATCCTACTTAGTACTCAATAGAACCCTGGCCACTGCATTTTATAAAAAAATGAAGCTTGATGATCTTACCCGGAGCACATATACACTTCCCAGTGACATGGTTACATTCAGCTCCATTCTGACAATTGCAACTATGTTGACAATCTTCTCCGAAATATCCTACTGGACAAGGTAGATCGCAGTGCATGTTATGCCAACCTGGATCACATTCACACGCTCCGGATCTGTGATCACACTTTCCATGAACACAGGCGCAGGAGGACTCACAGTTCTGTCCATACTTTCCCTTTGGACAAGCTGAAGATGAATTGAAAATGCTATTTAGAATATCTTCATCGGCAAAGAAGCGTTTAAGGTGGATCGATTATAGAGCTTACGTTGATCGCAGTTGTGGCCAATGTATCCGGGTGAGCAGATGCAGGTACCAGTGTCCTTGGAGCACTCCAATCCGTTCTTGCATTCGCAATTCTTCTCACAATTTTGACCCCAACGACCTGGTGGGCATACTGAAAATCAAAGTGATGACAGTGATCTGAGGAAATGCGAAAAATAAATGCGTAAGGGGTCAAATATATGCGAAGATCGCAACTTAGATGGGTGTACACTTTTATACGCCCGTTGAATATACTTTTGTTCTTATTATGGTCTAATTAATTCAAAGCATTGAGACAAGTAAAGCATTGGCTCGAAGTAAAATGTAAATGATTTTTTTGTTTGGGCTTTATAATTTACCTGGCTGAACGTGGAGGTCCGAAACTGGGTCATTTTCTAAAACGTAAAAGATATTTATTTAAAGAAGTTATTACACTGAAAGTGTGGCAAAGTAAATAGAATAAAAGTATATTACGGCAAATTTTACCAAATCACAAGATTAAGAAATTCTAAATTACTAAGAAGGGATTGTACTCGGTCAAGGCTTTCAAGTTCTCAACGTTGCCAAGATTAATGGGAGAAATCTCATACACGTGGGAACATTCCTGAAATTGCTTTAATGCAGCAAAATTTTGTGAAGTGGGTGCTGAAATCTCTCAGCCAGCCACCGATCACTTGTCGTATGACATAACAGTGCACTGATTGCCTTATGCCAGTTTGCCATATTTGCAGTGGACGCTGATCACTCTATGTCTACTCTTCTTGAGACTGCTAATATAGTCTAACCATTTTTGGGAGCAATTTCGGAGAGATTTAAAAGTAGAATAAAATTTATGAATAGAAATAAAATGCCATTAAACTTACGAATATTGCAGGTTTTTCCTTTACTTCCGTCAACGCAGAAGCATATTCCATCAACTGGATCACAATTTAGTCCCATCGGTCCACATTCACAATTCTCGGAGCAGTTTTTGCCATATTTACCTGGTGGGCATGCTAAAATTTGAAGTAAAAAACGAGTGAGAAATTCGACTTCGGATAAAGCGAATTAGTGAAACATAAAACTGGTATATGAAGGAAGAAATTGCACATTGCTGTGAAATTCAAGGGTGAGGTTAATTTAGTCTCACTTTACACACGTCAATCTAAAACTTGCTTTCGAAATCTGGCTGACTTAGACTTGTATTCTTGTATTCATCACTATTCATTTGATCGGAGGTAGTGGTGTCTTCAATGACGGACATATCTACTGAATTCGATTTAAGTAGACATGCCGAAATAAGTTCCGAAAGTATGACCATATCAACTTGCAACCAGGTTAAAGGTAATTTTACTTACGTTTGTCACAACTGGGACCCCACCTTCCTGGAGGGCAAGATCCAATACATTCTCCAGTCTCAGGATCACATCCTCTTGGACAGTTTAAGCATTTTTCCACACAATCTTGACCATAGAATCCGAAGCCGCACGGTTTGAAACAACCACTTGAATGATAACCTGGCTTGCAGAGACATTCCCCAGTCTAAAATACGTATAAATAAACCTGACAAATTTATCTGACCAGAAAAATACAACAATGAGTATAAATTATGTTCTATCTGAATAAGGTCAATATCCGCAAGTAATTTAAAAGAAATTAACTGTTTCAGTCATGATGCAGCGTTTTAATTAATACTGAGTGACTTCACACTCTGATACACTTTAATTAATTTCTTTTTTTGTTATTAAACCATTAATAATAAAAGAAAGGAACGTAAATGAAATAGAAGTTAACTGATTGATGATTTCTATCTCAGTGAAAAGAATCATTATGATTTAATTGTTGCATAGAATAGATTAAATGAGAGCATTATAAATTTAATAAGGCAGGAGTACCTATTAACAAATGTGTAGGGATGAAAAAACCTAAACTGGGGTGACCTTTGGAAACAAGTTGGCTTTAAAAAGCTGTTAATCTACTTTTAATTACAAGGTCCCTCTCCTTCTCAGTCGATGAGATTTTGAATATCAGACCATAATTCAGTTAATTACATCTTTTAATGTGAAATTCAGATTAAGACTCTATTGATGATGCATGACTGAAATCAGCAGAATTCCACTAAGATGAAAAATCCGCGTCATTCAAATATAATGAGACACCAAATTCCCTTCATTCAATTCGATTTGAATTTCTTCCTCTGGTTGTTACTTTAGCTGGCTCCTGATATGCTTTTACACATACTTCAATCTGAGACCACATAACCTCCATCACTTAGTTGCACCACTCCAAAATGTTTAAACATAAGTAAAATTACCTACTTTCGATTTACCCTGGATTAGGTGGGCAACTAAGTCATTGCCGATTTCAAATAAGA